GCAGAAATGGAAGTAGAGGAACGTTTTCAAAAAGTTAACAGGATGTTTTCCCCCTTCTAACCAGTAGGAAACATAGTCAGCAAGGTCATTTACAGAACGGCTACCACCTGCTTATCAGCAAAAGTAGCTTACAAGCTCTCCTTTGTCAGGGGAAAAAAAATCCAAACAAGATTGTGCTGTGAATTTTAACAGTTGTTGTGTCGCTTGCCTGAAGGATATCACTACAGCTGAGAATGTCCTGCAAGCATGAAGCACCAACACAAAATGTTGTATTGGCATCCAGACAATCACACTGAACAAATTCTTTATTTTAACCACCCTGGGGTGGGGGGCTACTGCTATTATGCCAAGGCAAAGTGATGGGGAGGGGTGCGAATGAGCGTTTCTGCTTCATGTTCCCAAGTAACCTGGCAGGCTTTGCCTACCATATGCCTTCCCATGGCTGGATAGGGGACACCACGGCTTATGGCAATCCAGACAGCAGGGTGTCTTGAAGTTGCGCTGCTGTGGCGGCACAAGAAATAAAGTCATTGGTTCTGCAATGGTTCCCTCCAAGCTATGGCGGCTGGTGACTCCAGCTTTGAGGGGGCTGCGAATCCACTTCTGTTTTAGTCACTAACACACTTGACAGGAGTTATCCGAGGAGTTGTATGTAGTATTTGATTCCATGGTTTTCCCTGTTCATGAAATTTGTAAAGAGCTAGCTGTTGCACCAGAAAACACATAGCAAAAACAAAGATTATTTCTACGTAAATATTTATTTATTTAAAAACATTTATTTTGGCTAAGGTGTCGACACATAGCAAAAACAAAGATTATTTCTACATAAATATTTATTTATTTAAAAACATTTAAAGTAACATTTAAAGTAAAAGTAAAAGTTATTTTCACTATACGATGCTTTGACTTTTTCTTAGGAAAAAGGGCCCTGAGAAATTTCATTAACCATAACAGCAGCAACCCCTTGCTAATATCTTAAGGCCCATGTTTTTGTTACTATAGTGACAAGCATCATTTATGGATGGGGTAAAAACTGGACAGTAAAGAAAGTTGACAAGAAAAAAACCACCTGATTTGTTTGAAATGTGGTGCTGGAGAAGAGCTTTGTGGATACCCTGGATGTCCAGAAAGGCAAACAAGTGGGTCCTAGAGCAAATCAAGCCTGAGTTATCTCTGGAGGCAAAAATGTTGAAACTGAGGCCTTCCTGTTTTGGGGCGCATTGTGAGAAGGCAGGATTCTCTGGAATAGAGACAATAATGCTTGCTGGGAAAGGTGGAAAGCAGCAGGAAAAGAGGAAGACCAAACGTGAGATAGACCAACTCCTTACAGGACCCACAGGCTTGAGATTGCAAGAACTGATCACAGGAGAGTTTGGAGCAACAACAACTACAACACAGAAGCAGAGATATTGTTGAAGATGAGTTTCACAGGCTTGAGTTGGCAAGAACTGAGCAGAGGACAGGTTGGAGATGGCCGTGCTGCAACAACAACTACAACATAGAAGCTGAGATATTGTTGAAGATGAGTTCACTTTTATTTTTCCAAAGAAGTCTCAAGTTTCCTTCTCTGGGCACAGTTATCTGACATTTCATTGCCCGCTCTTTACCAGGCAGGATTCAAAAGGGCCCGGATTTCAACCGAATGCGGAATTAGTAGGCTAAATGACGCCCTTGTTAAAAAACAACAACACCTCTAATATTTGTAGCTTTTCCTTTCCTGTTACAAGCAGGCCTGTTGTTTTTGAGAAGAAGAAAAATTAAAAGCCGGCGGGCGGAGGCTGTTCTGCTCTATTTCCCCCCCCTTTTTTTTCTCTTTTATCTTTCGCGCCATTTTATCACGCAATTGGGGCGCATCTGTTATTATTAAATCAACCCTGGTTTCTCAAAAGGATCTAGGGAAGGACTGCATTTCCCAGGTGGCTTTGCAGCTTCGAAGCCGGAAGAAGCGGCGAGCTGGGGCGTCTTCGTCGGAGGAGCTCAGTCGCGTGGCTGGTGAGTGCTTTTCTGGCTCAGGGGGTGGCGTGGCGGGGTAACAACGGTCTGGAAGTTGGGGTGCAATCTGACGTCAGTTGATTATGGAGAAAGAAGGATCTTTACAAGGGGTGAATGGATTCTCGTCTCGTGGGATGGGCAGGTCTTAGATGCAGGTTTACTTGGAGGCAAGTCACAGCTATGTTATGGGGGATTAGCTTTGATCCGTAGCAGTTTTATTCACTTTATTTCATTGGCTATACATTGGGAGGGGGCTCGATTGCAAATGGACAATTCATGCAGACTTTCAAGCTCTGCAGAACTCCTCGTCAGGTTAGATCATTTTTTAATGAGAGAGAAAAAGGAAGTGAAAACATGACTAAATATTTGGTTAGGTTTTCAAACCATGGGGAATTGCCTGAAAGTCGGCTCCAGGGGTTCTTCCAGCACATCCCCTCAGTGTCTGCTGACTGCTGCTTTTTCACAAGCAAAAATCTAGCATCTGTTGCAGCTCATCATCATCATAGAATTGCAGAGCTGCTGCTCCATCTCCTGCATGGCACCCCTTAACTTTTCCTTCTGCAAGCCAAACATACTGGCCAGTATCATATTTGAAGCATGAAGGAAATTGCATAAGCTTTGTCCTGCTTAGATCCGTTTCATGAAGCCTGCTGGTTTGTGACAGACCAGTGGAAAGCATATTTGAGACAATGGTAGCATCTTTGGGCTATAGGTAGTTCTAGTTGGTTAGATCACTGGTTCTTAACCTTGGGTTACTCGAAATTGCATAAGCTTTGTCCTGCGTAGCTCCGTTTCATGAAGCCTGCTGGTATGTGACAGACCAGTGGAAAGCATATTTGAGACAATGGTAGCATCTTTGGGCTGCTATAGGTAGTTCCAGTTGTTTAGATAAGCAATTGCAGATCGCCTGTGATGTCATAAGCCTTCACCACCAGCTGTCCTGACTGGGGTTTCTGGGAGTTGCAGTTCAAAAGCATCCGAGTAACAAAGGTTAAGAACCACTGGGTTAGATGAGCAATTGCAGATCGCCTGTGATGTCATTATTTGGGCAATGAAGAGTTTTGATAGTACAAGTCCAGGAAGAACTGACAGTACTGGAATAGCCATACAATATGATGTGTTGTTTGGTATGACCTTTGTTGAGCACTGCCCATTTATTTTTTAAAAACCCTGTTTCCCGCAGGCTTGCCTTCTGTGGTTTCACCACCATCATTAAAAATCCTGCATAGATCTTTTTAACTCACCAGCCATGCTCAAAGACAAAGAAGCATTTCAGAGACTCAGTTTCCTCTACCAGGTGAGCATACTGTTTCCTGTATACCAGAAAAGGGATCTTCTAGTGGTGAAGGGTCAAATCTACCCATCCCTTAAGCCCTGTCCCTTTCAGAGGCCCACCATCTTTTATCAGAAATCAGCAGCAACAGTGACTGTTTCCCTTTGAGTGCTACAAATTTTCTGCTGTTGATTCTAACCCCTATTCTCAGTTGGTGCGAGTCTCATTTGGGAATCTAGCGCTTGGGGATGCTGGTTGTAGGGAGCTTGTGATCTTAAAGGCTTTTTTTGGTGGTTTGTTACTGTCTTATTGTCAAACACAGCCAGTGTTCCTGTTGTATTCATTGAACCTTCAAACCCTCATCTCCAATTAGGAGAGAAAGGTGTATGGACTGAGATTTTATCATCTTTAAGAACTCAAAATGTGCTAAAGAAAGCTGAATTCTCCAGAGCTGAATTCTCAGACTCTGTAAATCAGAACTGACTTGATAGCACATTGTTGTTGTTATCATCATCACCACCACCACCATTATCTTTAATTGCCCTTCCATGTCTCAGTCCTCTTCTGATTTCTTGGCTGCAGTCTCCATTGAGTTGTAGATTTAATCAGTGTACAGAAAAACCTTAATAGTTTCTTCATTGTCAGTATTAAAGATCTATAATTCCACTGCAAGCATTATTTTTTTACCTTTTTAATATTTAACTGTAATCTTGCTTTTGCACTTTTATCTCCTTCAGTAGTTTTTTCAAGTCATCACTATTTTCTGCTAAGAATTTAGTATAATTTGCATCTCTTAAATTACTGATGTTCGCATTCACTCATTCCACAAAGCAGGGCAAGGAGATTGTGGGAAATATATACAGTATTTTGAAAAATATTTATCAAAGTTATAATAAACGAGACTGCCTGTTGGGGAGGAAGTCACATATTTACATCATGGCTGTCTCAACAATGATTTAAAGAGTGCCCTTCCTGATACAGTGAGGCCTGATTAATCCTCTGTGAAGTCCCACTGTACAATACAGCCATGGACATATGGAGCAAAAATGGCCTGGGATGGTACTGCAAGGGGGTGATAATGAGGTGTCTTCTGTTCCCACAATAGGCAGCACATTGTGTCCTGGCACAAAACCCAGAAAACCAGGAGTTGGCCCGCTTCTATTGCCACACACAGAACAGCATTAGCCGACGGCTCGTCTTAAGACAGTAAGTGCCAGATTGTGATGGTGGGCAGGAGAGTGTTAAGTGTCTACACATCTGCCACATTCTTCTTCTCTCCACTTTCAAACCCACCCACCCTAGCTGAATACGTTGCTGCACCGCTAGTCAAAACGAAGGTGCCATTTCATCTTAAAACAGCATACATGAGAAGTATTGTCTTGTCTTTAAGCAGAATTGCATTCCCCACCACACCGTTTCACTTTAGAACAAGGCTTTTACTCTTCACGCACCTTGTTTTAAAGTCACATTGTGACTTTTGAGCAGCTTGGCACTGTGTTTAGCAATGAATGAAATGGTGGGAGACACAACCCCTGATGAGTCCATGGTAGGCCAGTTTGCTCGCTCCACCTGCAATTCTACAGGCTGCTGGCTCTGCTCTAGTTCCTGACTCCGTCTCCTAGAACAGTCTCTTCACCCTCAATTTCTTAAGTGATCATCTCTTTAAGCCACTCCTAAACAAAACATTCTTAACTCACCTGGACTGTTCTTGTGTCAGTATTTTTCTGGTTCCCAAGGGCAGAAGTGGACAACCTGTGACTTCCCAGATATAGGTAGATTACGACCCTTGCCAGCAGCAACCCAACAACATCTGGAGGGTCACATGTTTGCCACCCCTTTAGTGAGGAATTCTGTGTTTTTAAGCACTTTGAGTGGCCGGCGGGATGGGGAGAACGGTCTCATGACTATGAAATGTTATTACTTTTTGTTTCCGTGTCCTGAATGATATTGCCAGTCCTCCTGTCGCTTCTTTTTCATTTCCATGTGTGTTTCAGGGACCCCTCTGTGAAAAGGACCATCTGCAAGGCTTGCTTCTCCCTTCTGGTCCCTGGAATTAGCTCAACTGTGCGGCAGAGGAGTAAGTGCTCCTGCTTCTTCCTTTTCTTTCATGGGGCTGTCTGGATATTCCTGAGTGCTCTACTTTACTCGGGAGGAACTGATGGGTCTTGTGCAGAGCATATGTAGAATTCAGGCAGGGTGCACCAACAGAGGTGCATCTAATAGGATGCTCAGAGTTTCTCTTGCTGTGTCTTGAAAAATGCAAAGCTATCTATTAACCTGTCTATAAAGATTATGGTAGTGGGCCAGGCTTGTTTCTACTGGCAAATGTAGCAGTAGAATTGGCATGTTGTGCTGCACAGTATGAACTAGTGCAGCAGTATGAACTCAGCGGGGGGGGCTGAGTGGTTTTGCCCAGTTCACCTACTGTTTATCTCCCCCACTTTCCTCCTAGCAGTCAAGAGCGCAAGGCAGCATTTACAGACTCTGGCTTTCTACATGTTCTGGGTTAGAGCTTCCATAATCTCTTGTCATTGGTTGTGCTTCTTTGGTTTCTGGAGTTTGAAGTTGTGATCAGGTTCTTCAAAAGCTGGTGACTGTTCCCTCGTTTTGGCAGGAATAAGAGACGGAGGTGGTTTTAAAAATCCAACATCAACTTTAGGTTCAACTAGATCAAAAGGATCAAAACAACTTAATTCAGGTAGAGTCTTGTAACTCAAGACCTTCACTTATGGCGTGAACAGGTCACTCCTCACGTTGGGGCTGGGCCAAAGCACTCGCGATCCTTTATCACCCTCAAGGGGGTACTCCTTAGCGCGCATACTGTCCCGCAACGGGGTATCTCGCCCAGTCCCCTTCGAGAGGTGGATTGTTGAAAGAGGGATTGGGACAAATCACTTTCCTCCCTCCACCTTGGTTGTGGGGGTAGATCACCACCATCCATTTTAGTGGTCTAGCCCCCTTGCCCTCCTGCCTCAGTATGCCTGGATCCGGGAGTAATCTTCCACCAGTCTTCAGGTTTGGAAAATCCTTTGACAAATCACAGACCTTATTAGAAGTACAGTGGTGCCCCGCTTGACAATTACCCCACTCCACGACGAATCTGCTTTACGATGGGGGTTTTGCGATCACTTTTGCGATCACAAAACCATGTTTCAAAGGGCGATTTTCGCTTCACAATGATCGATTCCCTACTTCGGGAACCAATTCTTCGCATTCCAACGATCTAAAAACAGCGGATCGTCGGGTTTCAAAATGGCCACCCGTTGTGCAAAATGGCTCCCTGCTGTGTTTAGGATGGATTCCTCGCTTAACAGGCACCAGAAAATGGCCGCCCTATGGAGGATCTTCGCTGGACTATGAGGTATTTCGCCCATTAGAACGCATTAACCAGTTTTAAATGCATTCTAATGGGTTTTTTACTTTCGCTTGACGACGATTTCGTCGTACAGCGATTTTGCAGGAACGGATTATCATTGTCAAGCGAGGCACCACTGTAGCTTCATTCCCCTGTTTGAACTGTGAAATCCCTAGTACGTCTCTACGTCTGGTCTGTTTCCACTCTAAACTCCCGCGCATCACCCCACTCTTTTATAACCTCCTCCCATACTATCAAATCTTGCTCCTCCCCTTTACCCTCCTCCTTGTCTTCCGCCAGACGTACTTCTAACGTCTTCTTCTCTCTCACTCACTCCTCTATCTCTATAAGCACTCCTTCTACACATCCAAACGTCTCCTGTACATTTTTTTGAGGAGGGCGCACTAGCCTCCTGTCCTTCACAGAAGTCCAAAACATCTTTAGGGCCAAATGTTCTCTAATTCTGCTTTTTGTAGTGTATATTTACTTGGTGGCTAGAAAGACCAATAGATAACCAAAATCCAAATGGCAACTCATTACAGTGGTACCTCGACTTACAAATGTCTCCACTTGCTAACGTTTCGAGTTACAAACGGCTCCGTTCGCAAAATGTTGCTTCGGTCCGCAAACGGAGGCTCATCTTACAAACAAAAAAAAATTTTCTTGCCCTTTTTTTGACCTAAGTTCATTTTAGGTCAAAAGAAGAAAAAAATAAAAAAAAAATTCTCCCCCTAGTGGTAGAGTACGGATTAACTGGCTTTACATTAGTTCCTATAGGAACTAATGCCTCTACTTGCGAACAGTGCCTTGACATACAAACGAAAAACAGCCTGAATTGATTAAATGGTTTTCAGTGTATTCCTATAGGAAATCTTGCCTCAACTTCCGAACTTTTTGACGTACGAACGGCGTTCCAATACAGATTAAAATTGTACATCGAGGTGCCACTGTAATTAGCTGCCTTTTGCCACTGTGTAACCACTGCACAGCAGGATTTGTGCTAATGCGTAGTCATGAACTGTCCCTGTTGTACTACAGCCATGAGTCCTTTTGAGGAGAAAGACGGGGTAAAAATAAAAAAAATAACCGAGTAGTTATTTGGAAGAGATAATGCTGGATTATGTTTTTGGACTCTCCTGGGAGAAGAGCATGCCATTGGAATCCTTGTGAGGTCTATTTGATCTTGAAAATTAACCGTTCTGGCACTGTTAATTCACTCCTTTCACTAGAGCGCCGAAATCAACGATGGACATCTGTGCAGTGTCTCAACTGTGGCCTAACCAAGCGTTTCCTCAGCAACCCAGAATACAAGCTATGGTCAGAACAACCAGAGGCATTACTAGAGAACCAGATACCAGCAGGTCAAGGGGCTAAAGGTAACCACATGTTTCCAGGAAGTGATGAGGTATCAGAAACATAAGGGGAAAATGGTTCTTACTTTTTTCTGAAGTTCTCTCACCCAAACTTCTGACTACACGTCACAGGCTGAAGAACTGTTCACAGTCTAAGGCCTAGCTTAATTTTTCCTCCCTTCCTTCCTGGAAAACAAAGCACTGTGGTGGCGCAGTTCTCAGGGTGTGCCTGCAGCACGTGGCAGAGGCACCAAAGAGGAACAGCCAGAAAGTGGTGGTTGGGATTCATACTACATGCAGGATTTCAGCCATAGTTTTACGCTCATCTCCATTCACTCTTGGCCTCCTCATTGTGTCAAGCTCGTATTTACTGAAGATGAATCACAAAGAAGCAGTGACTGGTTTTGGAGTAAATTGTGAGTCAAATACTGAGAGGCTTGGGGTCAGAGGGAGCGTCCGTTGTTTGAAGAACCAACCTCTTGAAGAGGTTATAGGCTGGTCATGGCTATCACCAGAGGAGGACTTTGGGCCTGATGTCCAGGGTCTAACTATGCAGAATACACGGGGCTGGTTTGCTATGTTTTGATGGCAAAAGGGCTGAGGATCAAGGCTTGTGGATATGGCACCAGCAGGGTTTTGTACATAATAAACTGTGAGGGGAATGAAATTGGGCTCAACAAGTTCATCTTTAGAAGTGAAGTAGTGGTTGTACAAAAAGAAGTGGTTGAACAGAATGAAATTGAGGGCTTCCACAGATTGTGTCTTGCCCATCATAAGATGTGGGTGATCACGGAACAAAGGAAGGCTAATTGCCTTAAGAGAAAGAACAAAGGAGTCGACAACAGATGTCCGAGCCAGCGGAGCCTATAGGCAACGCCCTGAGAGCTCTTTTATTTACTTAGCATGATTTGCATAGTATGTTGTGAGAGAAACAGATAGGATACTCGTTACCTAATCGTAACCAGAATTGGCTGAAATAACCCTTTGATCTTATGCTCTACCTCTAAGCAAAAGGGCAGAATAAGGGGTTACCCCGCCTGCTGGCAGCTGCCGCTTCCTGCCAGGAAGTATATTTACATCACTGGAACAGAATGCAGCTACAGCCTTCAAGCAGACGTTTCCCACAATAAGACTGGACTGGACGCTATTAATGAAAAGGCTTTTGTTGTGAACATAGAATAATGAGCAACACAGTTTCTCTTTGGAAAAGAAGATGGGATGACTTGTACAAATCAGGAGCAGAGACTGTCAAGTTGTTCTGCTATTTTAGGAAGCTGGGAGGAAGGTGAAGCGAAAGGAGAAGGGGGCTGGTTGCAGAAGGATTAATCATTTGATGATACTCAGTGGAAACAGCTTTATGGAAATGGAGCTGGCGGAATAGCTCGGTGGTTTAGGTATCTTAATGCAGAGCCAGAGGCTGGGATTTTGATTCCTCGCTGTGCCTCCTGCAAGTAGAGCCAGCCTGTGTGTGGCTTTGGGCATCCTGCACAGTCCCAGGTCACTCCCCAGAAGAAAGGAATGGGAAACTACTTTTGAGTATTCTCTAGCTGGCAAACCCTGAAAAAGAGTCCCAATAAGTCAGAATTGACTTCATGACACATTATTATTATTAATGGAAACAGGGCAATGTGGAAAATGTGGCTGCTGTAAACATTTTCGGTCAGGGATGGGGAACACATAGTTCTCCAGATATTTGCTGCCCTGTAACTCCCATTATCTATGACTGTCTATGCTGTTCAGGGCTAATGGGAGGTTCTGCCCAGCAGCCGCTAAAGGGCAATGTCTCTCCCACCCTTGTTTGAGCAAAAGGCCTCAATGAAATTGTCTTGAGCCGTTTGTTTCCTTGTGTCCCACTCCAGGCCAGGCACCTAGTTCAGTGCAACAGCAGCGCAAGGGCCATCAAGTGGAAAAGGCCACAGCCTCAAGTTCTGGACCTCACAACCCCCCGGCCCCTGAAGAGACCACAGTGTGCACCAAGTCTGAAGAGAAGACAAAGCCTAGTGGAAAGTGACGTTTTCCTTGGAAACGGGATGTTGCAGCTTGGAAACGTTGGGAAAGTCGCACGGAATCCCAGCTGCGAGAGGATGGAGAGACTTTGTGTGTGTGTGTTTGAATAAAAAAGTGGAAGGACTGGGATTGCAAGAGGGGTCCTCCCAGTTCCAGGGATTGGGGGTATCTGGCCTTCAGTCTAAGAGATGAAAGATGATGGGAGGTCATGTAACAAAGCTGCAGCTGTCATGCATGTCTGCCTGCAGTTCCAAGGAGTATAAATGTTCTCTTGGAGTGGCCCTTCTGTGCGGCAACATGACATGGCCTGCACCCGTTAGCAGAAGAATACGAGAACCATACCATGTGTTGTTGATGCCAACTTTTTTTGTTAAGACACTGTCACTTCTTTCAGCCCAGGGGCTGGAATCTGTTTCAGAAATAGCTGTTGGAGGTCCAAGTTTAAATATCCAAGGCAAAGGAGTGGGATGCAAAATGACAAACATATTTTACTATATGTTTAGTGCTTATGCGAAAGCCTTAGAAAAGCTTGTCAACCTTTTAAATGGGGGGGGGAGAAGAATGTCTGTACAAAAGCTGGGCAACAACACAGTGATTCTTTCAAGGGAAGGGGAAACGGTTGGGGGTACCTCCAATCTTAGAGGATCTATGAATCTATTCAGAGCAGGTGGTACCTCCAATCAAAAGCTGGGAAACAACACAGTGATTGTTTCAAGGGAAGGGGAAACGGGTTGGGGGTACCTCCAATCTCAGAGGATCTATGAATCTACTCAGAGTAGGTGGTATCTCCAATTTCAGAGGTTCTGTGAGTCCATTCTGAGTTTTAATCTCCATTTTATGAGGGTTATTCAAGCTGCTAGTCCTGTTTGGGGGGTTGGGTTCAGTACCTTAGGTAACTCCTGTAAATGTGAGGCTAAAACTCGGAGTGGATTAGAGTCACCAGTGGCCGCTGTTTGCGGTGTTAATGGATTGGTTCAAAGGACGTCCGTGTGAAGTGGGAACTGAAATGAGCCAATGCTATTCATTAGCAGGATCTACTTATCATTTGATACTGGTGGCAATTATGAATTGTTCCTCTTCCTGCCGTTCGTGAGCCTAGCATTTCAGCACACTCTTACAGGTCTAATGACTGAATCTGGCATTTCACATTGAAACGTTTCGTTTTCCATATTCACTATGAAATCTTTAACATCCAAATGGTTTCAACTTCAAGAAGACTCAGGAAACATGAACTATGAAAGCAGATGTTTCCCAGAAATAAACAGAAATGTGGAGTGAGGCATCATGGGAGATGGGAAGGACGTAGCCTGCGGGAACCATGAAAATATAGAATTGCCATTTCCTGTCCAAATTCAAATATTTTTAAGATGTCAATGGAGAGAAATGTAAAGGGAGGCTTACCTTTACTTGTGGGAGTCAGGGGGCTTTAAAAAGTGTTTAATTTGCTATATGTGTACAAGTCTCTGCCCTCTTCTTTATGATTCAGGGCAGATATTTGAATAACCGCAGACTGACTTTAAAGGGTGAAAACAGATTTCCAGTTAAATGCCTTCCCTCATGTTCCTTTTTCTGAAAAAACAAATACCATTACTGCTTATGTGTTACTCAAATAACATATCCTACATATCCTTTCTGCCCCCTGCTGCTACCCTGGTGTTCTTTCATTTTGTTTATGGCTTTTTAAAATTTTCATTTCGAAGGCTGAATACTTGGAGCAGCAATCAGTGCACCTCCCACAACTTTTTTTTTAATTAAAGACCAAAGCAGTGAGCCCAAGGATGGCATTTGCTTCAAGCAAGGCTATCAAAAGTAAAGGAATGTTTTCCTGCCCCTCTGATCTCTTGCAGAAAACAGTTATTACAGGACTTCTGCATGCAACTGAGAATTCTTGTGCACATTCAATCAGGTCAAAGGGTACACTTGGTATTTTTTTTAAAGATTTATGACATTCTAGTCACAAGGCTAAAAATATAAAGAATGTGAAATCATCCATAGGGGAACAGAAGCAAGAGGTTGGTTCACTTAGGCATCTGAATGCACGGAAAACTGGCTTTTCTCTAAACCTCATTGCAATCTGGCGACGTAGCAGAGTAAGCAGGTTCCAGTGGGCCCCTGTGGAAAAGACCTGGTCTCTTGGTGATGCCACCCCCCCCCAAAAGCAGGAAAAGGTAGGTACTCTGTAGAAGATTTTAATAAGTGCTGCCTTTGCGAGCAGTGATAAGCCTTTTAAATAGATCATAGGATCAGCCTAGATTTCCCATTTTTCCAAACTGGAAATGGATTTCTAGCCATTTCCAATTCCTTTATCACTTCCCCATTTGACATTTTTGTCTGCTTGTTCAGCCACAGGACACTTGGAGGATAGACCCACTTGATTGCCCACTCTTGCTAGCCGCCTAGAGTGGTCTTAAGTGGCTAGATAGGTGGGATATTAAATAAAAACTGTAAGAGGGATTTCTTTCTTTATAGATGCTGGATGGCTAGATAGCTCAGTGGTTTAAGTATAATGGTGCCCCGCTGGATGATTAACCGCTTGATGACAAATCTGCTTAACGTTGAAGTTTTGCGATTGCAAAACAATGTTTAGATGGGGGAATTTCGCTTAATGTTGATCGGTTCCCTATTTCGGGAACCGATTTTTCGCTTTATAACCATCAGCAAACAGCTGGTCGTCGGCGATCGGTTCGGCCACCGGCTGTAGAAAATGGCTCCCCACTGTGTTAGGGATGGATTCCTCACATTACAGGCACCAGAAAATGGCTGCCATATGGAGGATCTTCGCTGGATAAGTAGGTATTTCGCCCACTGGAACGCATTGAACGGTTTTCAATGCGTTTCAATGGGTTTTTAATTTCGCTTGACGTTTTCGCTCTACAGAGATTTCGCTGGAATGAATTAACGTCATCAAGCGGGGCACCACTGTATCTGGCTGTGGAGTCAGAAGTTGGCAGTTCAATACCCCACTTTGCCTCTTATGATTAGAGCCAGCCTGTGTGGCCTTGGGCAAGCTGCACGGTCCCAGGGTGACTCCAGAAGAAGGGAATGATAAAGCACTTTCGAGTCTTCTCTACTAGACCAGAGGTCCCCAACCTTTTTCACCCTGCGGACCAACTGGAGAAGGTGGGGTGCCCCTCTTGCTCGTGTGCATGTGCGAACAAGCGTGTGTGTGTGTGCAAATGGTAGCACGGTGCTTGCGTGGATGGGTGCACATTTGTGTGCATGTGCAAACAGCGGCACAGCACTTTCACTGGTGCATGGGTGCACATTTGTGTGCATGTGCAAACTGGCACAGCACTTTCACTGGTGCGCTGGAGTGTGTGCACATGCGCAAATCAGCTGTAGGGGTGAGTGCATGCAGGAGGGCGGGGGTTCTACGCAGCTCAGGCCACAGACCAGCACTGGGCTCTGGACCGGAGTGTGTGCACATGCGCAAATCAGCTGTGGGGGTGAGTGCGTGCGGGAGGGCGGGAGTTCTGCCTCCGCGGCTCAGGCCACAGACCAGCACTGGGCTGTGGACCAGGGGCTGGGGACCTCTGTACTAGACAACCCTGGAAAGGGTTGCCATAACTCAGAGATGACTTGATGGAATACAGTTATTATTTTAAGTCAAACCCAGCATAGCCTCAGATATAAAAACTTTCCCTCGTTACCTGCATGTATGTGGTAGATATTCCAGACTGATCATCCCAATGGGCCCTATTTATGATAGAAGATACTGCTCCCACCAGGTGCTGTCTGTCCCCCCAGAAACCAGGGGAAACATTTTGAGAAGGTCACGGGCAATTGCTGGAAAACAATGCCGGAAATCTTCGGTGCGGAACTGTAAAGAGTTCGTTCCTAGATGGAACCTCTTACTGTCTGACAAACGTGGATGAAAAACATTGCAGTTTGTCCAAGCGTTCTTTAACAGCTGGGAAAGATGCTGTTTAAAAAATTACAACTCCCAGAATCTCTCTGGTGGCGTCATTACAAAAGTAACTTCGGTGGTCCCCAAACCAACTTTTCCACGCTGTGGCTTTATCTTGGCCGGCTGAACTTCCAGCACCACAACCACAGATAATACACAATGCTTTGAAGGATTTTCCCAGCTTCTGGCCACTGTCTTCTAGGCATTATAATAAAAAGTGGTAACAGCAGTCACACAAGGAAAGGGTTTCACCTCTTTGGCATGCTGCGCTTTGCACCTGCTTGCCCACCAGTTGCAAAACCAGGCACTCGACCAGTTGTACAAAGGACACGGCCCATCAGACGGGAGAAGCCGCTGCTCAGTTGCCCATGCAGTTTATCACAGCAGGATTTGGACCTTAGAAAGCTGCATTAAGACTGAAATGAGGCCTGTGGTTTGGATCTCAGCTCTGCTACATAGAGGCACGCACTCTGTCTCTTCACTTATTCTACCTCAAGGGGTTATTGCAAGGAAACAATGCAGTGAGAGAACTATATATGTGCTGGATCTATTGTAACCTACGTAGGATCCCTATGAGAGACCTTGGCTGGGAGGGATTGTTTTCTGGACTGGGGCTGCTGTCGGTCACCTCAACAGCAGCCAGTTGTTCCCTCTCTGCCTCACATTCTTTTTCTTGCCTTTTTTCCCAGTTAGTCAGGGTTCAATTAATGTTCTGTTACTGTTATTTATGGAGTCTGAAGACTGTGTGATGTTCCGACAGCTGTGTAACCAGTTAGTCAGAATGAAGCAAGTTAATCAGTTAAGCTCAACTATGTAACCAATTAATATTTTCTACACAGTACAATGTTTGTATTTATCTATGAAGAATGGTAAGTAAACAGAACATCCATCCACTAAATCAGGGGTCTCCAACCTCCGGTCCTTGCAAATCTCCTGCCCCCGCCCCATGTGCAGACGTATGAATGCCCCTCCCGCGCATGGACAGCCCCTCCCATGCACAGATACCCCCCCATGCACAGACAGCCCCTCCCATGCAGGCACACCCCTCTGCACACACAGCCCCTCCCACATGTGCACAGATTGCCCCCCCACGCTAAACGAGTCCGTGGAGGCAAAAAGGTTGGGGACCACTGCACTAAATGACAGGACTTAATTTTTTACTAGGGAAAAAAAATTATGGCCGAGTGCAAAAAGACAAACAATTAGATTTTTTTTTAAGTATCAAAACTGAACACAGTCCAACCTCACAGCCACATAAGAGATGAACCGGCAGACCACCCTCTATAAAGCCATTTCATGACATTTTGCTCATTGAACTAAAGGAAAAGATGATGCATCACTTCCGTTCCGTGTAGAAAAAAAGTCAATTGGACTCTTTCTTCGACACGGATGATGATGGAACAGAACATATCATCCCAGCACAAGGCAACAGGTTAACTTTGCCACGGTGGGGCCAGCCCTCACTTCCCAGCATCCCAC